CTTAACTGACTGAGCCACCCAGGCACCCCTCATTGTGCAAAATATTTCATTCAGAACCTTACTTCATAACCATGTGCAAAATTAACTCCAGCGAATCAGGGCCTTAAACTTTTGTGGCTACCTCTCTGCCTGGTGGCATAAGAGCCACCATGGAACTTTAAGATACTGTTGTCTCTTTCACCAACACATTCTTGGTGTTTTTGGTGATTAGTGTGCCCTCTGCATGTCCCCTTGGAGAAGAAGAATCCATTCTTGGGTCTTCGTTTTTTTTGCCTAGTGTCTTTGTTCCAGAATATCCCTTTCTTCCCTGTCTGCCTTGGTAATTTAGGTATTTCAATTTCCATCACTGCTTTTTCAGGCTTCTAGGAACTACCACTTTGCACTTCCTGGCAGAGTATTGAATTCCATCTCTGTGGAGTTTTCTGGAAGTTTAATAAACTCTCTTATGTTGTCTCATGTTCTGGCCTCTAATCAAACACTCTCCAAATCTAGCTTTGTGAATATTCTTCTGGCTCCTACCATTACATTCTAGTTAATTCTTGCAGTTCCTTTGCGTGTAGCCCTTTTACAATCTTAACAAGCCCAGCAGCATATCCTATGCTAACTTAATGCAGCAGCTTAACCCTAGTTATCGGCCTATGGAGCAAGGAACACAAAGTCTTGCTGGGAGAAGGGTGTGCCAGCTCTTAATAGGGAGGGGTCAGCTGCCTCTGAAGGCTTTGGGAATTTAGGGGGTTCTGGAGACAAAGACTTGAAGATACCCACCCAGACAGATTTGTCCCACATATCCAGTTACAGATTTTCCCAAACAGAACCCTGATCTTAACTAATAAGCTTGCCTGCGTTTATCATTCCATCTTTGCAGTTATCCACTCTTAACTGTGTTCACTTTGATCTTTGGCTTTTTTCTACCTCTACCACAAGAGACAATGATCTCTCTTTAAGGATTATTGACCTTCATATTTAGTTTTCAATTGTTTGTTAAAGGCTCATACATTTTGAGTATCCATCTGTAGGACACTGACACAACTGGTGATAAATAATTTTCAAATGCCTGGATCACTGTATTGGCCAGGGTGTTCTCTCCAGAAACATCCTCCTAAGTCACTGGTGAAAGTTGTTAACAATTTGGGTACTGCCTTGTGTCCAGGACTATTGCTCATACATGGCCTAGGATGGGATCACTAGAAGGATGTGAACCAAAATATGGTACATATGCACCTGATACTCAAAACACGGTGTCTCATTATTTGCAGCAGATCCATATTGCTTCCAAACAGGTTGAGTTTTGAGTAAAATGGAGAAATGATGGCATTTGCTTTCTGTAAAACTATTTGAAATTTAGAATTAGCCCCCCCCCACCACACACACTTAAACACCAACAAAGTAATCACCAACCAACCACCAAACAAGACAAAAGATGTTATAAAGAAAAGGAATTGGAAAGAAAATAGAAGATCATTGTTACAGTCAGAATTGGGAAAGAAAGCAAAACCTGTGATCTCTTATTACAAAGGTAAAAAGGGAAATGTTTTCTCTTCTATCGCTTTGGTGGGTGTGGCAAGAAGGGAATTGAAAGAAGCCCAAAATAAATGTTATCCACCCCAAATCTTGGTCAAGTATGACACCTAGAGGCCACACAAACAGAATTCCTTTGGGTGATTTTTTTTTTTTTAATCTGGCCGGAAACATTTTATGTAGGAAAAAATATTTAAAGTTTTTATTTCAAAATGGACATTCTTCAGTACTTCCTTGTAACACTCTATCAGTGAATAACTTTGTGTATATTCCTTCACTTATGTGTGTAGATATGTATACGTCCTCACTATCAAGAGTTTGGAAATGACAACAAAAATAATAAAGATGGATGAAAGGACACCACTTGAAGGGTGATAGGTTCAGAATTGTCTCATTTCTAAATATGAAAAAAAATATGCTTTGCATTTTCATCCGTTGGTTTGGAGAATTTTAGTAGCCCTGGCTCATTAATACTCGAACAGTTCTTTATGAAAAATGATGAACGATTTACTTTGTGGCAGGCTGTACAGATGGTCAATTTAATCTGCATCCTTGAGACTTCTCACGACTAAATTTTGACATGATGTCATTAAACATTTGTGTATTATTTATATCATATTCTAGAAAACAAAGATTGCTATGTCTTGCCGTCCATCAGTTTTATTGATAGGATTTATCCTCCTGGACACGATAGCTTTCACAAAGGAACATGTATCTGAATATATATATCACATCTGTCTCCTCAGAGACCCATATATTTTTGTCCTCAAGTGCAATAATGGCATTGTTATTGAACAGACATGTTAGTGGTGAGACAAATGCTTACATGACTCAGTTTCTTTAACCTTGTCCAGAGATGTTTTTGCTACTAACTGTTTGGGCGTGTATGTGTGTTTGCATGTGACCCGTATGACTTGTATAAATTGAAATTAAAGGAGGAAACACAATTTTTAACTCTTTTCAAACACTCTGCAGAATATTCATCCTAGTTGTGTATTTTAAATGGCAGCAAATTTTTGACTTAGAAGTGGTTCCTGACTCCTGTGATATGTATAATGTTTGAAGTTGTAGCTATAATGTTTAAACTCTTGACTAGTTGAGTAATTATTACATAATTATGGATAAATATAAACATCAGATTCTTAACTTTTCTTTTGACCATAAGCTATTATGTATAGCATCCAATGGCTTCTTGTAGGACTAATTACCCTGTACATTAAATTGTACTAACTTGACTGTTTAGAGTCTCTGTCTTCTGTTATAGAATGAGTTTCTACTTGGTGAATTGGTTTGGGACTCCCTAAGAATGCTTAGAATGGACCGTTATTAAAACAGTGCTTCCAGTTTGACATCTTCCCTGTGCCAGAGTTGGAGGAATTCAGGATAAACCTGCAAGGTGCTAACAGTAGCTGAGAAATAAACACAGCCAGGATAGGAAAGCAGTGCCATTGTAGAGAGATACTTTGTAGAGTTTGCTCTCAGAAGACAGAATGAAGGAAGCAATAGCAGGAGCTATTTTCTTCATTGGTGTAACTGTTGAAACAAGTGTCCTTTAGGCAACCATACATTTGTTAGGATCAGGCTGCCTTTGTATGCCTTATCAGCCTATAATCTTTTGATTGTTGCCTGTGTGTGTGTTTATTTATTTATTTATTTTTAACCAGTGAAGGAACAGTAATCCACACTAGTTTATCTCTCCTAATCACAGACTCACAGAGCTAGGTTGCTCTGAGCTTTTAATTCCCTCTTAGAGGCCTAACAGAGTGAAAAGTAAACAAAGAGCAAATTTGCAACCTTAAACATTGCTAATTTCCTCTGATGTCAGAATACTTAAACAGGCAGGACCTCGGAATTATTTGATCAAACCTGCTTTTAATCTAATGCATGCACAAGGGCTGTGTCTGGAATGATCTGCAAAACGGCAGGCGTCCCAAGAGAGCTTTATGGAAGGTTTCCTCTGTCAGAAACCGTAGTTTCCTCATTTTAAACTCTGGAGTTGGCTGTGTTTTGGGCGTAAAGTCATAAAGAGTAGTTTTCCTGCCTTTTAAATTTTATTTGGCCAAGTATTGCTGACCGGATGTGGATAGTTTTCTTTGGCTTTCTGTTTGCTGACTTTTTAATTGGCTACATGCCTTATTATTTTAGCTTTACTAGAAAATGAATTAATAAAAGGGTGTTATTGAGGGAAAGAAAGAAAGAAAGGGCAAAGCATTATCTGACTTCATACACTTTGTTTCATTGTGTACCGTTTAAGAAAATAAACACAGAACAAAAGACCCCAAAGCATTAGGTTATTTAGACTATGAAGCATTTTTCTACAATAAGATTCAGAGAAATTAATGCCTGGGATTTTTAAGTAAAGAGTGTCCTAATTTGGAGATACCCAAATAGTGGAAACCCAGTTTTCCCTTTCATTTTACTTACAGCTGTGTAGATACTTAAAGGGGGCATACTTTTGACAGAAGTAGATAAAGGGGATAGCACTTTTATTCACTGCATGTTTGAAATATGGTTTTAAGATGGGTGTTTGTAAAACCTTATCAATGTAACTAGATAGCATTGTGAATGCTTATTAAGTAATAATTCAGTTTTAAAGACTGAAAACACAATGTACTTTGATCTGTCACAGGTCAGTATTGTTGGTATTTCTGTTGAGAACAGATTAAGTTAAAACGAAACATTTAAGAGAGTGTTCAAATGCTTCTCAATGGCAAGTAAACAACTCTGCTGTTTGTGTTTTTTACATCTGATCATAAATACGGCTTCCGACACAAAGTAATTCAGAAGCCACCGCTTAAAAATAAATTATACACACTGATGCTTTGTGTAAATACACACTAAGAATAGCATGCCACGAGATGTAGCATTTGACTCCTTGGATGCCGATGAATTTCAATGCCTGTTATTTGTCATGCTGAAGCCTGTCGGGTGATGATTCTTTTCATTGGTGTATCCTTCCAAACATATTTCATCGCACCATGTGCACAGGAGTTCTCTGGGCGGGCGTGTTCGATCTGGGTGCCCCCTCTCCCCTTCGCTCCTTCCTTTCTCGCCCTGGCGCTCTCGCCGCCTCCTGCCTCCAGCCCCCACCCACCCCCCCTCGCTCCTTTTCGGCTCACGCCCCCCTCCCCTCTCTCCAGCTGGCGGAGGGGGTTGCGCTGCCTCCCAGACCTCGAGGACCTGCTCAGTCAGCTGGGGCCCCCTGCGGCCGGCTGCCTCCCTCGCCGCTAGGACCTGCCACTCTGCGCGGAATGGCAGCCGCAGCAGCATCCCCGCCAGCGGCAGCGGAGGCTGCAGCCACGGCCACCGCGGACGCTATTGTTCCCCGGTGTTAAACGCGCTTTCGCTCCTTTTCATCTGAAACGAACAATAGCAGGGAAGAGCTTTGCTTTCTGTAGTCCTTGGGAAGACAGAGTGAGGGCGCAGAAAAATTCCCTGCCGACCGCGTTCCGGATCCGGACCCTGGAGCGGCTGCGGGCGGCATGGGGCTGCAAGCGAGGCGCTCCGCGTCCCGGAGCCCAGGCGCCGCGGGCCCGCGCCCCGGTGTCCTGCCGCTGCTGCCGCCGCCGCCGCTGCTGCTGCTGCTGCTGCTCTGCCCGGGCGCCTGCGGGGCTGCGGCTCCCGGCCAGGCTGAGGCGTCCACTCCGTATCTGTGGAAGACTGGTAAGTGGCACAGAGTTCTCCACCTCTGGGTCCGTATTACAAAGCTGCTGGGCTTCAGGAGGGACCCCGGTGCATCTTGAGAGCCCCGGTGTAGCGGGATCCTAAGGTGAAAAGTACGAGTACTAGGAAGCAAATTGGGTCATGCCCGATGCTATTAGGAAAGAACAACCTAGCAACTAAGAGGCATGAGAGAGCCACGGGAATCGTGTTTCTCTCGCAGCTCTGTAGTTAATGAGGACACCCAACACGGTGCTTTCATAATGAAGTGGATTCTTAACCCCTGGGCTTTCATTCTACCGAGAGTTCCTCAACTATATTTCTGGCAAAGAAGAGGCAAGCAGCTCACACCCGGTCTTCATTCTGTCTTCAGGCACTTTGCTCAGTGCCATGAAACGTGTGGGTATAGAGTTGAATTTGTTAAGTATAGCTTTGTGAAATGTGGGACACGTGGAAACAAGCCAGATGAGGGCAGTTCTAACATCCAAAGGCAGATGGGGCTCCAGTGAGCTCAGGGAGAGGGTGCAAAGATCAATTCTTAATGAGTGAATGCCGTGATTTTTCAAGTGTGCAGTCGTAAGGATGTTTAGGTTTAAACTTTTCCTGCCTTGAGAATTCTTCTGCTTTGTTTTCAACCAACTAACAAAAGCAGCAACTAATTGTGCCTCAGAAGCTCCAGGCAAAGTGCTGACTTGAGGTCCTGGTGGCACAGTGACAAGCAGGAAAACAATACCAAGTGAGGAATTAACTCCCTTTTCTCCAGTGTCTTTTTTTCTCCTCTAAAGGACGCTGAGAATTCTTTAGCAGACCTGAAACTTGGCATGTGTATAGAAATGAAGTAGGAAACATTATTCCTGTTGCTTAGGGGTAGGGGTAAATTAAGAGTTCCTTGGCAATGCCTAAACGTTAAGAGAAGCATGCAGTAGAAGGGAGGGAAAAGATGTATTTGTCATGGGATTGCAAACAAGTTACACAGACTGGGTCTCTTTCCTGGCGGCAACTATCTGTAGCCCCCAGCTGCAAAGAGAGGCTAGTCTACTCTACAATTACACCAATATTCTGAAATTTTAAAGAAGTTTCATCTCTCTGGCAACTTGGGGAGAAGATTGAACAGAAATTTATTTCAAGCCAAAGTACCTAATTTGCTTCAGAATGTTGCAAGAAATAGCACACACACTTTTAGGAAAGCCATTTGGATGTCAGTGTTAGCCACTCTTGTTGCCATTTGGAGTTTAAATATTAGTTGTTGACTAGTGGATGCAGATGAAATCATATTAATTTATTTCACATTCAAACAAAGAGTTGAAGATCTTCTCTACTTTAGCTAAAGCCATGGTTTTACTTTTCTGAAGCTTGGTCATAACAAAAAACAATAATCAAACTATAATTTACCATTAAATGGTATTATTTGGAGGTTTGGGAAGAACTTCTCCAGTAGGTAAGTACTAGACAAAATAGTACTTGCCTGCTTGAAATTTGTGCTGTTAAAGTAAGAAAACCCAAGCAGTAATTCAGATAGAATTAGAATCTAGGCAACATTCACTGTGCAGCATCTGAGGTGCCAATATATGTCAACATAAATGTCATGGTGGGAACACAAACCAATAAGCCATTTAAAATAGTGGAAACCTCTCAGGAGCAAGGATATGGAGACCTTGGTTCCACTGCCAGTGCCAGCTCTTGCTAGCTAGAAGAATGTTGGCAGGTTCATTTAACTTTTGACCCCTCGTTTTCTCAGCTGCATGTAAATGCAGTGATACCTTCTTCTGACTATTCATAGTGTTACAAAGAGCAAATGAGTGAGTTATGAGAAAGTAATCTATAAATTTCAATGTGATATGCATGTGAAAATATAAGCTAGTACGATGAGGGTGATAATGTCATCTCTTTTATGGTGGTCCTTGGTTTGGTGGGGAAAAAAAGTGAAGTAAACTGGAGAGGAAAATTTTTCCTCTTTATTTTTTTTTCAAGAGGGAAAGGAGGCTTTGCTATTATCTCTAAAGAAATTGAGAGTTGTTATCAGATGAATTAGGAAATATTTAAAGGAGTGGGATACACTGTAAATGAAAATGTAGAGATGAAAGAATTGTGTTTGTCGATGAAAATAGGAAGAGAATTGGGAGAGAAAATGAGGTGAGGTGAGACTGTCCAGGATGTCTGTTCCAGTTTCTTGGTCTTGGTACAGCAACTAATAGGGAGTTAAATTATTGGTCACATCACTGAATTACAGGGATGTAGTAAAAGGTCCACTGGTCGAGCAGCTGGGACAGGAACTCTTAACACTGTGTTTATCACTAACAAGCTGTAGAGCATTGGCACAGTCATTTAATGACTTTGGTTCTTGGTTTCTGAGTTTGTAGTATTCATTGATTAGAAAAAATGATATGTAAGGGCCTTTTTGTGCCTTAACATGCTTCATATGTATGTATGTATATGCACATACATACACCATAAACACATCTATGTACACATACCCATAGTTTATTAAGGTGTGTATATATATAATACATATACATAATAAATAGGTTTATAATACATGATGTATGATATATAATGTATAATATAGGAAAGTCTAAGGTATATATTATATGAAAGTTTTATTAAGTCAACTCACAACAAAGAGTTATCGAGGGCTCAGTTCTGTGAAGTCACTGAGGTAGAGGCTGACTAGAATGTTGACATCCCTTCCCTCAAGAAATTCATAATTGAACAATACTGTAAATACACAACAGCACATGGCGTACCATAGTCATGAACAAAACTGTGAAAACAGGGAAGTTGTGTAGCTGAAAGAGGGGGCTGTAGAAAGTTTTAAGGAGGAGTTAATGTTGATTGGGGTTTTGGAAGATGAGAACTGGATTGTTTAGTCTGGGAGGAGTGGAAGTCTATTTCAAGCAGCGCAAAGAAAGAAAATAAAAGTAAAAGCATGCCAACATTCTTAGGTCTTGAAAGCACTGCAACTCAAGTGTAGGATGTTTGGTGGGAATGAATGGAGGAATGCCAATTTGATGAATTCGGGCAGGTTGTAAGAAAACCTTCAAACTTTGGTAAAAGATGTTGGAGTTTTAACCTAAAAGCAAGGGGAAGCTATTGGAAGCTTTATGCAGAAGATTGACATATTCTTTTCCCAGAATGGAGAGAGATAAGTGAAGAGGCTGGGAGGTCAACAAGGAGAGGGCCTGAGAGGCAAAGGGGCCCCTTCACTTCTAGGACCATAGAAGTGAAGAGGAGAGGAGGGCTAGAGATCACACTGCAGAAGTGTTACCTCAGCTTTAGATTGCAGGGAATGCTGTGCCAAGGAGAGGAGGAATTCATTCCATCAAGATTGCCATCATATCTGCACCTAGTTCCTTGAGGTAGAGGATATGAAAGAAGAAAGAGCCAATTTCCTGGGGTTAGAGAAGAAGAATATCAGTTTACTTTCAATAGAGCAAACTTGAGGAGTAAGTCCATTCAAATGAATGTATCTGATGGGAAAACTAGTGACTGGATGGGCAGTTTAGGAGAAAGGCTGAGAGCATAGACTTGGAACTCAATAAATGTATAATATTTCAAAGCATGGTAGTTGGAGGGATGATTAAAAGAAAAGAGGTACTTAAAAGAGGGGCCAGGGCACTTTACAGGGAATATTGATATTGAAAGGGCCATTGTTGAGGAGAGACGTGTAGAAGGGTGAAAGACAGTGTGGTCACAAGAGGTCCAAGGAAAATGGCAGTAGGTGCTAAATGGAAGAAGATGTTTTATGAAGGGGATGATGGCAGAAAGTATAAGACATTTCTGGAAGGCTGGAAAAGAATAATGAAATATTTCAGAAATGATTGAATAAAAGATAATTCTCAGTGTTTTGGGAACGGATGTTTTAACTGGAGTAGTAGAGTTAGAAACTTATTTGAATAATAAACAAGATAATGAAATAGGTATGATATTGATGAAGTCAAATAACCGAGGGGTGTTGACATCACTACACTTGTTTTTTAATAGTGAAAACCTCAGAATATGATACTAAAAATATTTATTAAAATACAAAAACATTTTAACAGTTTTATGTCAGATTTATTTGAGAGGTAACGTATTTGTGTGAATAATTAAAAAAAATTTCATAAACACAGATAAAGCGCTTTATTATTGGAAGATAAATAGTTACTGATATTAGTTTTTCACTCTTCAATATTCTAGAACATGGAATTTTTCAGTAGTAATTATGACCAATAATATTTACCTGGCATTTCTCAATTAAGAACATAAATACGTTGCGTAAGATATCATTGACTTAACATGAATAGGACAGAGAACAGTGAACACCTGCAACTTTTATCCACTTATGTCACAGGTATATTTTCCGAAAGGTCTTAATGAAGTAATTGTATTTCTTGTTTTTAACTGATGTATAGTTGATATACCATGTTACATTGGTTTCAGGTGCACAGTATAGTGATTGGAACAGGTTTGTACATTAGGCTATGCACACCCTAAGTGTAGCAACCATCTGTACCATACAACCCCATTAAGATACCACCGACTGTATTTCCTATGCTGTATCTTGTATTCCTGTGTTTGATTCATTCCACAAGTGGAAGCCTGTATCTCCCACTCTCCTTCCCCCATTTTATCCTTTCACTCAGCCCCCTGTCCTCTGGCAACCTTTGGTTTGTTCTCTGTACTTATGGATCTGTTTCTGCTTTCTAAGTTTTGTCTATTCATTTGTTTTGTTATTTAGATTTCGAATAGAAGTAAAATCATATGGTATCTGTCATTTTCTGTCTGACTTATTTTACTTAGTATGTTACTGTCTAGGTCCATCTGTGTTTTCACAAATGGCAGGATCTCATCCTTTTTTGTGACTGAGTAATAGTCTATTGTGTGTGCTGTGCTGTGTGTGTGTGTGTGTGTGTGTGTGTGTGTGTGTGTGTGTATGCCTTCTTTATTCATAGACACTTGGTGGCTTCCATACTTGGGATATTGCAGATAATGCTGCATTAATATAGGATCCATGTATCTTTTGA